GCTATTTCCACATCAATTGAGGATGCTGTTTCTGCATACTTTGAGAGGATCACTGGTCTTCACCTTTCATTCTGCTCATGTGAGCATCCCACTTACTCATTTCTGTGTGCTGACCCATCCTTCATCCCAGGTGTAAATCCCAGTCCATCAGGGTGAATGATCTTTTTACTGTGCTGTTGGATTCTGCTTGCTATAAATTTTCAGGCTGCTGGCAACCATGTCCTTCAGAGATATTGGGCAGTAATTTTCTTTCCCCATAGTGTCCTTGTCAAGCTTTTGATTCAGGATACAGTATTTCTGCAAAATGAGTTTGGAACTATTCTTTGTGCTTTTATTATTATTTTTAAATGTATGAGAGAATTATTATTATTTTTTAAATGTTTGATAAAACTCAGATTGAAACACTCCTGTCCCAGATTTATCATCAATCTACAATTTAAAAATATAGATTCCATCTTACTCATTTGAATTAACCCAGATTTTCTATTTCTTCATGACTCGTAAGAGTGAGTCAAACATCATATTGTTTCCTCTGCAATTACCATTGTGAAACTAATTCTGCTCCCATAAGAAGCAGACACAAACATCAGACCAAAGGGTAGCATAGCATGTTTCTAAAAAAGGTAGTTGGCATGTTTCTAAAAATTTATTCATTTTTTATAAATCATTGCATTGCTTAGACGACAGCTGTTCATGAGAGTCTCTCTGATTCTTTGTATTGTCCACTTTCCCTCTGTTCAGTAAGTGGGGCTGATCCCATTCATCCACCCAGACTATGCAGCTTGTGTATGAGATGTCCAGATGAGAGCCTGGGATGTCACCCCTGGCCTCCTGCCCCTGGCCAGAGGGAGCGTGGACTACATCAATATAGAAGGGAATATTGTGAATAGATCTGGATGATAAAATGAGGAAATGGCAAATGTCCCAAGCAAGGAGAGAAGATGTCTGAAGAAAGATCTCTGGCTAGGGTGAGGAGGAAGAGAGGCCATGCCTTAGTGAACCTAGGGAAAATAAAATGATCAAAACATTTGAGGTTGATCCTGAAATCATCATATCATGATTAAAGACAAGATGCATTTTAAATAATGAGAGTGTGGTCGCCATGGTAATCTGTGACTAGTTCACAAATTCAAACCATTCAAACTCACAAAATTTAAACTGCATAGTTGGTGGAAGGCACAGATGAGCATGTTTCAGTCCTTTTCCTCCAAAGGGGGGAGCTCAGAAAATAATTTGAGTGCTGCTCCCTTAACAGGATAAGTGTGGGATCACTGAAGTACAGATCATGCCCAAGCAGGGATGGTGGTGGAAGTGCAGCCTGAGATGACCTGAGAATGTGCTCATACACTTGCTCAGTGTGGAGACACATGTGGAACTGACCAGAAGTCCAGGAGGGAATGGAGGACTATGGTTCGGGTGAAGGAACAATCGGGTCAGTGGGAGAAAGTATCCCCAAGCAAATGAAATAGTGAAATAAACTCCAAAATCCAAGAAGCGCAGTTGAGATGTGATCCTCGTTAATTTCATTGTCAACCTATTCAAACACCATATTATTTCTTCTGCAATTACCATTGTGAAAATAATTCTGTTCCCATAGAAGCAGACACAAACGTCGGACCAATGGGTAGCATTTATCCATGTTGCAGTCCTCAGGATGTAGGGTCCCTTTGTTATCCTGGGTTATCAACCATGATGACAGCCAGTTCTGCTGGATATTCAAATGTTATGGGATTTGTGTGGAGCACTGTGTGGGTCGCTGAGCAGCAATCCTGGCCTTGACCTTCTGCATGTCAGTACCCCTGCACAAGGTGTGAGAACCACAGATGTCTCAGATCATCGCAGCTTGACCCATGGGTAGGGAGGGAGATGAAAAGTCCCCAGGTGGGAAACGCTATGTCCCATGAGTGTTTAACCATCATTTATTTGGCTGAAGTGTATGTGTCATGAAACTCCAAGACATCAGCACACAGGTAGTCTGTGTCCTAGAGGGATTATGCTCTGCAGAGCAACACCACAGGAACACAGGCTGAAGATGAAACAGCATGGGCTCCAAAGAAAATGTGCCTTATAACCTGCACATTTGTCTTTCACACAAGCCCCAGGTCCCCTGCTCAGTGTCCTAGAATGCTGTGATGTGGCTTGAATTTCACCTTCTTTGTCACCTGCCTCTGTGATCTGTTGTTCCCAGGAATCCCTGGAATCCAGGCTCTGGAAGGGTCTCAACAGGCCCTGAAACACATAGAAGTAGATACTTCATCATCCTCTTCTCCTACTGAACAGTGACTATTACTGCAAATCTATGTTAAAAATAATTCTAAATAATTATTTATTTTTCATTGTGGGGCCAGTTTCCCTCATTAAAAATTCAGAGTCATCATTAGGATAATGTTCCTGGGCTGGGAGTGTAGCTCAATGTACTGCACCTACCCATAAGTCCTGGATTCCTTCCTGAGCACAGCGAGGTCATAATAACGAAATGATGTTCCCAAGTGACACCGTGTTTGGTGTTTTCCTCGTCTCTCAGCTGTGCATTGGTGTCCCAGGCAACTTGTTCCTCTTCCTGTTGTACATGCACACCTTCTCAGTCCAGCGTCATGTGAAGAGGCTAATGGATCCCATTTTTTCCCACCTCACCTTGGCCAATACTTTGACAATCACGTTCACATTGACACCACATATAGCGTCATCCTTTGGAGTCAGACAATTTTTGGACGATGTTGGTTGCAAAACAGTCCTGTATATGTACAGAGTGACTCGGGGTGTTTCCATCTGCACCACCTCTCTCCTGAGTGCCTTTCAAGCCATCACTGTCAGTCCCAGGAACTCTAAGTGGGCGTGGCTTAAATTTAAGCTCCATACACAGATTTGTCCCTCGTTCCTTTTCTTTTGGATCATCAACATGCTCATCTACATCCACACCATTGAAACCATAACAGCCACTAGAAATTTGACTCTGGTTGGTCATGGCTATGTTCATCCATACTGCCAAACCAGGCAGTTTGGAAACCAAAATGCAGGGAGATTTCTAAGTGTCATCTTGATTCATGACCTGGTGTTTGTGTTCCTCATGATTGGCACCAGCCTGTATATGGTGAATCTCCTCCATAGACACCACAGGAGAGCCCAGCACCTCCACAGCTCCCGTGTCTCCTCCCAGACATCTCCTGAACACAAAGCCACCCGCACAATCCTCCTGCTTGCAAGTTGCTTTGTGGTCTTTTACTTCTCAAACAACTATGTGACTCTTTATTCCTTTTATGCACACAAGAAAATCCCAAGGCTGGAGGGGTTGAGTGGAGCTTTATCTTCATGCTACCCAACCATCTGCCCATTTTTGCTGATGAAAAATAATAAAATTGTTTCCCAATTTACTTCATCCTTTTCACAATAAGAATTACAGGTTTACAAAGAGCATTTGATGGCTGAACTGTCCCACCATGCTTATAGAGAAGAGAGTCCCTCATGATTCGTCTGGAAAAAGTTTTTTTTCTTGTTAACTTGTCCACTTCAAATGGCACTAGTCTGAATTCATATGCTATACAAATCTATTGTGCTCTCACAATAGGAGACTTAGTTTGAGTAAGTGTATGTATGTATCACTGCAACAATTTTCATATTTATTACATCCTTAAATTATTATACTTTTGTAAAATGAGTGCATTTTCTATATGACATTAAAATGATTTATCTGCTTGCTTTGGCTTTTCTAAATACAGCTACAAAAAATATAAAATTACATTTGTGGATTTCATATTTCTATTAAAATGTGCTGGCCTAAGAAACTGTTGCTCTGTGTCTGTGTTAGGGAGTTATTTTGCTACTTTGACTAAAGGACTAGGCCAGAACCACTCTAAAGGAGGACAGGATTATCTGAGGGCTCATTGTTTCAGAGGTCTTAGTCTATAGGCTGGCTCCAATCCTCAGGCACAACGTTAGAGAGAACATCATTGTGGAAGACTGTGTCAGAGGGAAGCAGCTTACATCACAGTGTTGGGGATCGCAAATCAAGTCAAGATGGTGCATGGCAGTTTGCCAGGGGGAGTGGTTTGTGAGGCAACATCACCGAGCCATTAAGTTGGTGGAGATTCCTTATTGGCTGATTGCTCTAACTGGATGATGCTAATTGAGTCAAGCTGTGTGTAATCAGTTAGGTATATATACCTCTGTTGTTTTGCAAAATAGTGGCTTCTGCTACCTTTTGGGCCCACTACCTTGAGTTCCCGCTGAGTTTCCCCACAATAAAGCAGTTCCCGCTTCAACCTTCAAGTTGCTTGTCACCTCCCGGTTATTATCCTCAGCTGGACTGGGGCATATGGTGGCCCGTACGGGGAAGCTCCAGGATGCTTGGGAGTAAGTGACAAGGTAAAGTGCTCCCCCCTAAGGATGGGTGACACCAGTGTGTTCTTGTTTCATTTTGTTTTGTTTCAGTTTTAAGCTGCCTGTCCCTAGAAATAAATAGGATGGAAGAAAAGTTCCTTGCCCCTGAAGAACAGATAGGGAGAAAGAACTGATGCACATTTCAAGAAAATAGAAAAATTAATACAGTGTGTTTTTACTCCGTTTTTGTTTTGTTTTGTTTTTGGTTTTGTTTTGTGTTTTCTTAGTGGGTTGTGTTATCTTTGTTATGGAAACATGGGATCAGAAGTTAGTAAAAACCAAACCGAAAGGGTAATAAGTAAATTGCTAAAGGAAGGAGGCATCACAGTAAAACCATGAACAGTTGGGGCATACGTTGATATGATACAAAAATGTAGCCCATGGTTCTTTAAGGAGAGGTTGTTAATATCACAAAGGGACCATCATGGTGAAGATTTAAAAAGGATAGAAAAGAAAAGCCCAGGAACTCTGCCAGTTGGCACATTACTATTATGGACGTTGATACGATCTTGTTTGCTTAGTCCAAAGCCTTCAGTTCAGACTATGGTAGAGGAAAGAGAAGACATCTTAGATCAAGTAAAAGAGAAAGTCTCTCGAGCTAGTCAGACAGGAGAAGAAAGTTTAGAGGAAGAGAAGTTACAACAGGAGGCTGCTACTAACACCTTTCTATCACCAGGGGGCGTAAGTATTCAACCAACAGCTCCACCTATGGAGACAATATATGCTGGGTGGCCCCCAACCCCCATAGTTGATAGATGGGATCCTGACACAGGACCTCGAAGATTAGCATGCCCTGTACTTGAGGATGAGGGAGCGCAGTGATATCACCAGGTTTTGGATTTCAAAACTGTAAAGCAGTTGAAAGAAGCTGTAGCAACCTATGGTCCTCAACCCCTTTTACTGTAAGCATGGCTGAATCCATTGCAAATTATAAAATGACACCAGCAGATTGGGCTAGCATGTGTAAGGCTGTGCTAAATGGAGGACAATATCTGTTATAGAAAGTTGCTAATCAGGAATTCTGTATGGAGACTGCCAAGCGAAATGCAGCAGCCGGGTATCCACAGAGAAATCTAGATATGTTGCTAGGAGAAGGACCTTATGAGGATCAGCAGCAACAAACTAGATATGATCCTGCCATATATTTACAAATCACTTCAGCTGCGGTTAAGGCATGGAAGACTTTACAAGGAGAAGGAGATTTACAAGGTCAATTATCTAAGGCAATACAAGGAGCTAATGAACATTACTCTGAGTTTGTGGATAGGCTTATGCAAACAGCAAGCAGAGTCTTTGGGCATGTAAAACAAGCAATGCCATTAATAAAACAACTAGCCTATGAATAAGCCAGTAGATGGTGTAGGGAGGCTATTAGACCTTGGAAATAAAAGACTTAAATGCATACATTAAGTTGTGTAGAGATATTGGGGAACCAGTGGTGCAGGGGCAAGTCTTGGCAGCTGCAGTAACCCAGGGAGTACAGCAGGCTTTAGGTGCCAGGCCAAAAACATGTTATGATTGTGGTCAAGCAGGACATTTTAGAAGGAATTGCCCCATAGGAGGAGGGTTTAAAACAAGTTACAAAACTGGGTATGATCAAAAAGAAAAATACTAGGTGTTTGCCCACAATGTCATAAAGGAAAACATTGGGCTTATGAATGCCATTCTCAGACTATTGTAGAGGGTACTCTGTTGCCAAAAAATGGACAAGGGGGCCCGATGCCCTGGGGCCCACGACTACAAATATACGGGGCATTGAAGGAACCCAGCAACACCATCAGGGTAGTGCCCAGGACACATTATCCGTTAACTCCCTTATCAGAAAAACCAGAGGGAGTGCAGGATTGGACATCTGCGCCTCTGCCAAAGCAGTACTAACTCCAGAGATGGGAGTTTAAATCATTCCCACAGGGGTAAAAGGACCTCTTCCCCAAGGAACAGTAGGCTTATTACCTAGTATGCATGATAAATTTCCTAGTCATCCTGTAGAAAGAGGATCCAAAGGATTTGGCTCCATAGGTATAGATTGGGCTATGCTTTCTTTAGATTTAGATTCTCGCCCTATGTTAAACTTAACTATTCAAGGAAAAAATTTTAATGGACTGCTGGACACAGGTGCAGATCTTAGCATCATCTCTCGTCAGAAATGGCCAAGGGATTGGCCTTTACAATAAGCCACTCAAACGCTTCAAGGCCTAGGAGTGGCGACTAATCCCCATAGAAGTGCAATGGTATTAAAATGGAAGGATCCTGAAGGATGTGAAGGAACTATACAGCCATATGTATTGGATCATCTTCCTATAAATTTATGGGGATGAGATGTTTTAGGTCAATTGGGATTAACATTAACAAATAACATTTCACATATCAATCCAAATGCACTCACTATTATGGCTGGACAAGGTTTTAGGAAAGGAAAAGGATTAGGAGAATAAGGACAAGGTATAGCAGCACCAATATAAATAAATCAAAAAACAGATAGACATGGATTGGGTTTTCAGGAGGGGTCACTGAGTCAATAAAAATTACTTGGAAATCAGAAAGGCCACTATGGGTTCCTCAGTGGCCCCTGACTAAATAAAAGATACAAGCAGCCCATGACCTGTTCAATCAACAATTAGAGAAGGGACATATACAACTTTCTGTATCTCCCCATTATACTTCCATTTTTGTTATCAAAAAGAAATCTGTCAAAAGGAGATTATTACAGGATTTAAGAGCTATTAATAACTAAATGGTTATCATGGGACCTGCTCAATCGGGGATTCCTCAATTGTCTGCTTTGCCAAAAACCTGGTATGTTTTAGTTATAGATATTAAAGATTGTTTTTTTTCCATTCCAATTCATCCTGAGGATAGTCCACGTTTTGCATTTACTGTCCTGCGCTGAATCATGAAGGTCCTGATCAGAGATATGAATGGAAAGTACTCCCTCAAGGGATGGCAAATAGTCCTACTATGTGTCAAATTTATGTTAACAGAGCAATCCAGCCACCAGAAATCAAAATCCTGAACTGCAAGTATTTCATTATATGGACAATGTATTATTAGCACACAAAGATAAAAATACATTGCTAGAATGTTATGCCACATTTACAAACTTATTAAAAAATTATAATGTAGAGATAACAATAGATAAGGTACAATTAAATTTTCCAATAAATTATTTAGGAGTTTTTTATCCTCGACCATGGTCCACCCACCAGAAATTCAAATACGTGTAGATCAACTTAAAACACTTAACGACTTTCAAAAGTTGTTAGGAGACATAAATTGGATAAGGCCTTATCTAGGCATACCAACAGGAGAGTTGGGACCTTTATTTGATATCCTAAAAGGTCCATCAGATCCAAATTCACCCCACATGTTAACGCCTAAGCATGAAATACATTAAAACTCACTGAAACATATATGGAAAATATGCATTTGGATAGAATTGATATAAGTTTGCCTCTGTTATTTATTGTATTACCAACTAAAAATATTCCTACAGGAGTATTTTGGCAAGAAGGTCCATTATTATGGATACATTTATCTTATTCTCCTAACACTATTCTTACTAGGTATCCTGAGGCTGTAGGACAATTAATACTCAAAGGAATAAAAGCAGCAAAGGGAGTGTTTTGAATTTCTTATACTATGAATCAAATTGATGAGTTAGCTAATTAGTTAAATACTTGGGCAATAGTCATGTGCAAATCTATTTGTTCATTTGATAACCACCTACCATCTAATCCTTTGATGTATTTTTGGTCCTCGCATCCTGTAGTTTTTCCAAAAATGACAAGAAAACACCTATCATGAATGCTCCTATATTTACTGATGGGTCAAATAATGGTACAGCAGCAATAGTTACCCCGATCAAGTTTTTACATTTTTAGTACCCGAACAATCAGCTCAAAATGTAGAGTTTAATGCAGTATTACAAGCTTTTGTGATGTTTAAAGATTCTGTATTTAATTTATTTTCTGACACTCAATATATAGTTAATGCTATAAATTCCCTTGAAGATGTTGGTAGGATTTCCCCTTCCTCTACTGTTTTCTCTTTGTTTGCCACTATACAAAGTCTAACCTGGGACAGAAAAGATCCAGTCTTTATAGGACATATCAGGGCACATACAGGATTGCCTGGAGCCCTTAGTTTGGGCAATGACATAGCAGATAAAACTACATGACATACATATTTTTTCTATACTAGAGGAAACTACAAATTATCACAAATCCTTCCATGTCAATGCTAATACCTTGCATAAGCATTTTAAAATAACTAAGGAACAAACTAGACATATAGTAAAACAATGTCAAAATTGTGTGACCTTTTTACCACAAGTTAATCTTGGAATCAATCCTAGAGGACTGATATCTAATCATATATGGCAAATGGATGTCACACATTTGCCAGAATTTGGAAAATTAAAATATTTGCATGTTACAGTTGATACTTCTTCCAGATATTTGATGGGTTACCTACATGCCAGAGAAAAAACTAAAGATATTATATCTCATTGTTTACAAAAATTTTGCCACTGTGGGCGTTACAAAACAGTTAAAAACAGATAATGGCCCTGACTATACTTCTACTTCTTTTAAACAATTTTGCTCATCATTTGGCATTACTCATATAACAGGTATCCCGTATAATCCACAGGGACAAGGCATAGCTGAAAGAACCCATCAAACTATTAAAATGAACTTACTAAAACAAAAAGAGGGAATTGGGAAGGGATATAAATTCCCCAAAGATAAACTTAACATAACCCTTTTTACTTTAAACTTTTTAAATTTGGATTCATCAGGGCTTAGTGATGTGGAAAGGCACATATGTCCAAAAAATGTACATAAGCCAAAGGTACTTTGGAAGGATATTCTCACTGAACAAAGGAAAGGTCCTGACCCAGTGATTCTCTGGAGTCGGGAGTCTGTTTGTGTGTTTCCACGGGGAGAACAGCAGCCGATTTGGATTCCAGAGAGACTAACTAAAGTGATTTCTACAGACCAAAAAGGAGATGATTTGGCTCAAATCCATAACAGCTGATATCCAGAACTCAAGTTTAGCCATCCTTACATCTGCAACAATGGTTCTCCCATACCTGGAGGCTAATGAATAATGAGTACCATTAAGGCCTATTTCAAATGTAAAAAACCTTGAGGCTTACTTGTGGGAATACCTTCAAACCCATATGCAAGTTACAGAAAGAAGGATGAGATTTTAAAAGAAGAGTCAAACCCAGGTGATAGCCAGGATGCTTTTTTCTGTTTTATTTTTTGAGCTTATACAGACCTAGGTTAATGTTTTTCTGATCAGTTCTATTTTTTGATTAACTGTGGAGTTTTTAAACATTGCAATGGAGATTTCGCCTGTGAAAAGCTACAAGGCCTCTACTATTGTGTTATGTGTGCACACTTGTGTTATGTGTTGTATGTTATGTGTGCACATTTGTGTTATGTGTTGTATGTCTGTATGTGCGTATGTCCATATATCATATATGAGGAGCGCTCATGAAAAAATGGATCCAAATATCTTTTATTCACGTGATTTAAACAGTTTAATTAAAATTGGGTATTGTTTTTTTTTTAACCAAGATTTAATGTACATTTATTCTTAACACGTGGAACATATAGTATAAAGATTTCATACTGAATAAATGATATTCATTAAGCCAAAAAAGGAGGAATTTACATCAAGTTTTAGCTACATTGTTGAAATACAAATATGCAGATTTTATCACTGAAAAAATCTCAATTGTGTTTCTTCATCAGGAATTTCAACTGAACCTAGAACTTTTTCACACCTCGATTAGAAAGAAAACAAAACAAAACAAAAACCCAGAAAAAAATAAACTATAAGTTGATTGGCTGCTGAGACAGCAAGGACTTTTTACAGAGACCTGTACAGCATCACACCAAGAGGGGCGATGTCTGGCAAGAGATTAAATAGCTGTGTCTTGCTTTGTGCAGGTCATTAAATTGGGTATTGTTTTTAAAAAGTGAACAAAAAAGGAGGTTAACAGATCTATTTGTTTACTTTCACCTTTCCTCTTCATTATATCTAATAATTCTGTTCAGGATAATGTAAATTGTTCCAAAAATTGTTTTCTTAGTGCCTGCTGGAATGCTACACAATTTTCTTTAGCCATCATTGCCAGAATTCCTACTTTCACCCCAGTGCCAGTGAAGACAAAAAAAGAAGAATTTTCAGTATTACTGAAAAATCAAATGAGACTTTGGAATTACAGCTACCATCATCACAGCTGTTGCTCTTTCTGCTGTTGCTGCTGCAGCTTCTATGATAGCTATCACACAAACTGTAGAACCTAGACTGTGTATCAGTTCTATGCATTATAAATCTATTGAGACAACAAAATGTAACTTTTAATAGTACCAGGGTATCTTTGCTGACAGTGTCATCAGTGGTACAATTTTTCCAAGGGCTTTTTACTTGGAGTCGTCATTGACTTGGTATCGTGGCATTATGTATCCTCCTCCTTCTGCTTGTGGCAGTTTGTTTTTGGTGTTTGTATAAAAACCACTATGGTCATTATCCACAAGTATGGCTAAATATGTTGGGCCTGTAGTCAAAGACGGGTAAGATCCAATTACAATGGTACCAACCTAAGCCAGGAGGCTGACAATTTGAGATCAGATAATCCAATGACGGGTAAGGACCATATGTAGTATTGGACAACCTAAAAAAGGCATGGTCCCTAAACCACATACTTATTGTTTAATAAAACAAAAGGGAGGAGATGTTGGGGACCGCAAAACAAGTCAAGATGGCACCTGGCAGTTTGCCAGGATGAGTGGTTTGTTAGGCAACGCCACTGAGCCATTAAGATGGTGAGGATTCCTTATTGACTGACTTCTGTATCTAGATGATGTTAATTGAGTCAAGCTGTGTATAATCAGTTAGGTATATATACCTCTGCTGTTTGCAATAAAGTGGCTCCTGCTACCTTGGGTGCCTGCTACCTTGAGTTCTGCTCAGTTCTCACTGAGTTTCCCTGCAATAAAGCAGTTCCCACTTCAATCTTCAAGTTGCTGTCAACTCCCAGTTATTTTTCCCAGCTAGACTGCAGAATCAAAACACTACCTGCTGTCACCAACTTCAGCTTTAACTCTTGATAATGAGTTGCAGAGTCTCAATGGGCTGAGTGATTCCACAGCCCTCTCTGCCTTCCTCCCTTCATGATCCTCTTGAGGAAAAAAATCTCAAATTTCTCTTCTCCATCATCTTCTCTACTCCATCCAGGTTTAGCACAATCCAGCTGTCCTTCAAGGATACAGACCTGGTTAGTTTTCTGTCTCTTAAAGGAATTGCAATGCACGTCCTAAAATGTTACTGCTCTCTGAATTTTCACTGTGGATACACTCAGGTTCCCCACCTGAATCAGGAAACAGCATGAGCAGCTTCCTGAAGCCCCAGCAGGGCCCTCCCAGCCCCTGTCCCCTTAGATGTCCACCACTGGGCTCTAAACAGTACCTGCTGTCACCTCGCTTAAACCCGAGATTATGGATTTCACAGAATCCCAAGAGCTATATCTCAGAATTCTCAGACTATAAGAGGTTCAGCATCCTCAGTACAAACACCTGAAATCTGAAACATTTTGACCACTCTTATGGCATCATATGCTATGGGACATTGCTAAAAATGGCTTACGTTTTCAAGGCAGAACAAAGGCAGAATTGTAATGTAGGGTTTAGTTTAGTGGTTTTTCTTTTCTTTTTTGGCAAAATTAATTTTCTGGACCAGTTTTAGGTTCATAGAAGGACTGAATGTCACCTCCCCCCTTCTCTCTGTTCATACAGAAGCACAGCCTCCCTCTTTCGGTATCTCAGCATAGTGAAACACTTCTTGGAACTGAAGAACATAGACTGACATATCATCATTATCCAACCCCATAGTTCATAACAGGGTTCACTCTCAATGATGCTCCTTCTGTGGTTTTGTGTTTATGTGTGTTTTGGGGGGGTATTGGTTATTGTACTCAATAGCATTGTACCTATGCCTAGAGCAGCAACTCTTCCAATTTTGAGGCAGAATCTTGCTAAACTACTGAGGTGAGCCCTGAACTTGCAATCCTCCTGACTCAGGCTTCTGAGTAGCTGGGATTACAGGTCTCAGCACCAGCCAGCCATTCATGGCTTTTGACACATGTGATGGCACGTGTACCCACAGAGTGCCAGAGGAAGGGCAAACTCTGCCCTAAACTCCATATCTGTACCTGTTCCCCCTCTTCTCCCCGTTTTTTTTTTTTTTTTGGTGTGCACAGCTTTATAATGGGTATTATAAATTCTTCAAAATATTCATCCTTTGATCAACACATAATGTCCTGCTGCTTTCTTGTGATCATGGGACTTAATGTCTATTTGTCTGATTCTGCCAAAGCCAATCTGCCCTCCTTAGGCTCTCATGTGCATGAAATCCTACCAACTCCATTATATTCACCTGTGTCCTTGGTGTTTGGTGAAGCTCTCTGGGCAGCACACAGTTGAACTATGGATTTTACAGCTTTTGGAAACTTGGGGTTTGATTGGCGAATTTAATCCTATCAATTTTCAAATATTCCTGGTAGGAAAGGAGTGACGACTACCCCTTTTCTCTTTCAGTGTCACTCAACTCTTCTAGACTCTCATTATCTCTACTACTGCCTTCTTTACTTGTTTGGTGGATTCTTTTTTTTATTTTTATTTTTATTTTTTTTCTTTTTGGATTGTACCCTTTGATTTTCTTTTAATTTCCTATTGTGCATTTTCATGCTAGGTATTTTCTACATAGAATTAATGTTTTTTTTCTAGCATACTCATACAAGGAATGCAGGGCAGCAGGAAAAAAATTAACCAGCAACTTCAAATTTAAGCTCCGGAAATTAATTAATCCCTCTAGAAGATAAAAATGTCAACTTGAGAAGAATTCATGCAGCATATGCCTTCTACAAAAGCACAAGCCCATAACAACCCAAAGATTGGACTGGTAAATTTAAATCTGCACAGGTTTTAGAAGGTGAAGAATATATGGGCAATGCAGGGACTTTGGGCCTTAGGAGAACTAACATTTCTTTAGTCTTGGGAGCATGTATTTTAGGTGTTGAGAGACACTGACTTCATTTCACAATTCATCACGTTAGGAATGTGCTTTAACTACATTTATTGAGCTTCTATCACAGGTTGCGTAGAAAACATTTCAGAGCTCAGTTCTGGAGCACTTCCCATGTCTCCACAATTCTGAAAGCAGAGACAGGTCCACACAGGGCCATGCGTGCTCCACACATGGCAGCTCCCTGTGCTGTGGGTGGCAGTTCCCACTGTGCCCTGTACCAGCCTGTGCTTCATGGAGCCTGGAGGAAGGTAAAACCCACTGTAGGCAGAGGAGGCACAGTGGCCTCCTGAGTCCTCAGGGTCCTGCCCAGGGTCGGCTTGGATCCAGGCTTGTGGTCATTTCCACCAGCTGTGTGGAAACTAGTCTTTAATGACTTCCTGGATGCTAAAATTCACTTTCTGGATTCATCGTGGGAAAACCATGTTCTCAGGCAGTGACTGCACTCACTCCACCTGGCAGTCCACCGGGAGATTCCCGGTGCCCCTGGGAGAGGACCCGTTACTCCTCCTGGGCTTCAAAATGAGGCACAGTAAACAAGGTCCTTGGGGCAACAGGGGACAGGTGAGTGATGTGCTCTGGGAGGAGAGGTCCTGTCATTCTGCCCCTGAAATACAGGGCCAGGCGCAGCCTTTCCAAGACTCCTCACTGAGTCAGGGAGGCCGACT